AGAAATCTGTTGGTGACAACAGGAATCTTTGTGACCTTCCCAAAGTAGGTACCTCAAAATGCGAGATGCAGGGGAGGGGTATCAGGAGACAGGTATCTAGTTGTCTCATGTGCTCCCAGAGGCATCTGGTGGGGCCAGTTTGAGATACAGGAAGCTGGACTAGATTGGGTCTTCTTATGTTCTTAATTCCTGCAAATCAGCTTTTTTTTTCCTTTTCCAAATTTCATGATGGGTCATTGGGAGGCAAACACTGACTTTATTTGCAAAGCTGACTGCTCTGCCATAAAGACTGCTGGAATGTCAATGTGCTACGGCCTTCCAGATATGAAGATACTTATTTCTTCAAGTTTGACATTCTATTTAGAAAAATAAAATAAAAAATAGAGGAATGCCCCATAGAACTTCTTATAACGTTTGTCTTAGAGCCTTAAATTAGCAAAATAAGAATTTGAACTGTTTTTCTTGTTAGAAATATAACATTGTTATTTAGGCAACAATCCTATAGCCATTTTCCTTATGAAGAAGAATTCAGTTAATTCAGTGGGACTTACTTCTGAATAGGCATCTGCAGGATTATGCTGGTAGTGTTTTATTTCAGTTAGTAACTCTACTAATAGAAAGATGTCTACTAGCTTTGTGTCTGTTCTTGGGAAATATACTATCTTCCACAGTTTCTCAAATAACATTTGCCATTCCTAATCCTCCAGGATTGGAGAAGCTGGCCAAAGAGTTGTGGGGTGGTGGGTGGTTTGCAGTTTTTTGATAAAGCATTAGAATAGGGTTAGTGTATTATTTCATTCAAAGGACGTGGTAGTGCTGCGGGTTAAACTGCAGAAGCCCCTGAACTCCAAGGTCAGAAGACCAGCAGTCATAAGATTGAATCCACATGATGGAGTGAGCTCCCGTCGCTTGTCCCAGCTCCTGCCAACTAGCGGTTCGAAAGCATGTAGATGCGATTAGATAAATAGGTACTACCATGGTGGGAAGGTAATGGCATACCATGTCTAGTCATTCTGGCCATGTGATCACTGTCTACAGACAAACGCTGGCTCTGCGGCTTGGAGACAGGGATGAGCACCGCGTCCTAGACTCGGACACACCTGGACTAAATATCAAGGGGAACCTTTACCTATTATTTCATTCAGCTGATATTATATGTAAGAGCATATAATATGTTGTTGACTCAGTGTGAGAGACATGCAGTGGAATAGAAACCATTTTGACCTTCCTGCAATGGCACCAGGTTGTCTGGTACATAGAAAAGGGAATTTGGCATCCACTGCAGAAAAGAGAAACTAGACAGTTAATTAAGACAATTAATCAAAATGTATGAACATCTCTCTTTGGTCTTTCATATGCTCATTTTTAATGTGACAATCTAATTTTTACATAGAAAGGTATCTGTAAATTAAAACTCTCATTTTGCTAGCTCTTATTTTGTACCTACAGCAAATCTCATTTGTAAATCACTCAACTGAAAACCTAAACTTTATAATGTTCTTCATTTATTGGTTTCATCTTCCATAAAATACATAATGTGAATGTAATTTTTATTCCCACTGATATGCTTCATGAATTCATGTATAACTTTGATGGTGTCTCACAACCATCAGCAAATCTGTGGATGTTTTGATGCGCTGGCCATTTATGTCCTTCCTGTCCATTCCTGCATACGGGTGATGAGGATTTCTTACAATGAATATGTCACATTTCACTTATGGAAGCAATAATCTTGCAAATATAATTTTTTAAAAAAATAGGGTGGCAGATTTATGCAATTATTTATTTATTTATTTATTAAATTTATACCCCGCCCCTCTAGACCATGTCTACTATTGGTAGTAGCACTAGTAGCAGGTAAAAAATTATGTTTTCCTTATGTTTCTTTTGTGCTGTGTGTTGGGTTATGAACCTGACAAAATAATAGTCATGGAAGTTATTTCGGTACCCAAACTATAAACAAATTCAGGAAATTGTGCATAATATTGCCAGTTGCTTTGGCAAGTATCAGAGAGGGGTAATGATGATTGACATTGATTTCCCACTTTTCTTTTTCATACAGAATAGTTTGTAGACTAGGTTGTAGTTAGAATTTGAGCATAAACTTCTGAACAAAACCTGGAAACCAGCATTAGTGCTAAAGCATTAATGCTATAATGGTTTATTTTACATTAAACAGGAGGAAAAGTAAAGTGATTGATACTGTCTTCTCAAAATAATATTTTTGAAACTTTAATCTTCAATCAGGTTATACAATTCTGAAACGTCTGAATAATTAAAATTGCAACTCAAATTTTATTTGTAATTCCACGAAAGGATCAGAAACACATGTTCTTTATCACACAGGACATGGAAATGAAATCTGGTTCCAGTCAATTCTTTTGATAAGACGGCTGCCTGAAATTTATCATAGAATTAGTGGTGGGGATACTTCTTGGCAAGCAAGATTTTGAAAACCAATAACTGTGACAGGATAGGCAATAAATATTTGTCAGTTAATGTCAGTCTCTTGAAATGGTGCTTTTTTGTTGTAAAAGTTTTAAGGACCCAATCCAGGAACTGAAATGAAATGGCATTAGCATCTGACTAGCTGGAGCTAAACAGGAGAAATTGCTTGCAATGTTGATATGTTCTTATGTAGAAGAGGAGCGAGAAAATGAAAAATAATGTGTGGCCAGACTGAGGTTACGAACTACTTATTTCTTCCCAGTTAATTTGGACAGGAACAGTTTTGTGATATAAGAAGCAGGTACAGTATCGGTGAAAGATGGCAGGAGGTGCATTGCCTCCCATGAAGCTAATGACAGCTTTCCTGGATTGGAGTGTCTGTGTAGTGTATTTTTCTATGTTTGTGTAGCACCCCGTAGTTCTGTGGTAGACAGTAGTACCAGATCATTTACATTGTATGTCTTTGTCCCTATGACATAAATTGTAATCACATCCCCCCCACACACACACACAGTGCCAGTTTAGACATATACAAGATAGCCGGAAACTTTGACTTTCTTGCCTTTTCTTTCCCTTTGATGCAACTTGGGCACAGTGATGAATATCAGCAAATATTGCACCTGTAGTAAATATTTCTGGAGTCCCCTCAAAATTCAAAAGCAATTTGCTGGAGGTAAACAGGGAATGAGGAACTGTGACTCAGAAAAATAAAATCATATTCCTTACATGGAACTTTAGATTTCAAACCTACTTTATTAATGGAATTTATGACAAACTGCACAATGGCTGAAGTTCTGTTCATGCAGCTACACTGCATAAGGTTGATGATGTCATCAGATGCAATGGTTTTTCAGAAATGAAAACATTCTGATTCTCTTCCCCACACCATCCTAGGGCTCCCATAAAATCTCTTTGATCAATAGGAAGTCGTCCGTTGCTGAGGAATGCAGGGACATTATTACATTTCTGAAGATCACTGCTGCTAAGAAAGCCATTATTGTGGTGGTATTATTCAGAAATTGGGGAAAAAAACACCCTAACTGATGAGGTAATGAGCCTTATGTGGCATAGTTGTGGGAACAGGATTTCAGCCAATATATTAAACCCACGTCTACTGTAATAGTGGTCTTGCAGAAAAAATAAACTGTATAGTTTTCAATTTTTTTTTCCACTCAGCCCTGAATAACACTTTGTCATAAAGAGATCATTTGCTCTTATTTTGATTGACTGGAGCTTTGGGATCCCACCAGAAAAAAAAAGTTTTTCTTACCAGAAATAAAGTTGAACTTGATAAAAGCTCTTAGAATTAGAACTGGCTTCATTTTATGTATCATATAAAACAGTATAATTGCCAGCAGAGTGGATTTGATTTAAATCAAGTAGATGTAAAACAAGATTTAAGTTACATTTTAAATTACTGTTCAATTTAATTATGTGATTTTCCTCTTCCAAAAAAAATACACTCTTGCTTCTTATAATCTAAATAGTTATTTTTCACAATTCAAAGAGAGAGGTATATTAAGAAGGCTTGTACCATACACTTTAAATAAAGGTTCTGTATCACAGAATGAATTACTGTTTAGATTAACCATGCTAATTAAAACACATATTTGTGGAGGCACTGTAAGGTAAATAGCCTTCAATTTAACTATCACCATCACCAGACAGACACTGAAAAAACTGAAACAATGCTGTAATGTGAGTGGTTTTCCTCTTCTAACAAGCATAATATAAGCATCCAATTTTTAAATTGTAGCTGAACATTTGAAGTGCCCCTGAATATTTTAAAATCAAGTTTCACACACACACACACACACACACACACACACACACAATCACTCAAAAACAGCATCACTCAAGGAAATGATTGTTGATGCAACTTTCATTTCTATGAGGAGGAGATCATTTGTAAAGTTAGGAGGTCTTAATGTTTGAGAAAAAGCCACCACAAAATACTTTGAATTACTGCAGAGTTAGCTCACAAAATGTTTTGTTGATGGAAATCTCAGCCTCCCCCTGCAACTGTGAGGACTACAGCTAAGCTCAGAAGGAAGAGAGAAATCTTAAGGGGGTGGCAGATGATAGCATCATCTCTGTTAAACCAAAAAGTCCATATACTTCAGTAGTGTGAGTTTTGGCCCCAGAACAGCATTAGCCCCTGATCCAGATGTAGTTAGTAACAACATGGAGATTACTGAGATAGTGGTTAAATATGTGCTGTTGTCTACATATAGTTAGGTTGGAGATGAATGCAAACATCTCTGCCTTTTTCTGTAAAAGCAAGCACTAAATAACACAATTCTGCAGACACATCCTCATACAGACATACATCACATCAGTTGACATACATCACATGATTTCTGTACCACCCTAATTTTCACATCTGTACAAATGTTGCATCATTTCACTGATGATGAGCATAAAACATCTGAACTGACATTATGGCGATATAGTTGTGAGTCTCAGTGGTGTTAGTTCTGTAGTTTTGTCACACCTCTACAAATATTTGTCCTGCTAATCAGCTGAGGGACTGCCATGTTTTACCTGTACAGAATGTATCGATTCAGGAGCTTCAGGCTCAACTTGAGCAGGAGATGAAACATCGAGAAGAGGAGCAAGAAACATTTACAGAAAGGATCCTGCAGGTAAATACCTAGTCACCTGGAGAGACCTTTGTCTGTTTTTCTTTCCTGAGTACCCATGGCCTCTTGTGTTTGTATTGAATGTAAGAATTTGGAAATTTTCTGAATAGTTTGGTTGCAGATTGGGAGACTATACCATAAGAGTGTTTTTGGGTTAGGAGAAAATTTAAGAAATTTTCTCATTAAGGAGAACCGTAAATTCTGTCTTTCAGTCATATTGTCTGGATAGTGACTGTCAAGGTTGAAGAGATGTTTGCTACAATTATATTTGATGATGTAAGGCTTTGTGAATCTTACTCCCTGTTTAACCCTATGACCCGATTCTACCTATAGGTATTTTAAACCCATATAACAGGATTCTCCTTAAATAAATAGCCACCGGAAACAGTCGTTTTAAAATAATCATTTGCATTAGGTGCCTGTTCACAGAACATCAAGAACTGTTTAATTTATTTATTGATTTGATTTGATTTGATTTCTGTACCACCCGTATGGCAACCCATGCCACTCTGGGAGGTTTACACATTACGATAATACAATACAGTACAATGCAATACAGTACAATAAAATAAAACAATAAGACAGAAATAATCAATAAAAATTAGACAAAGTAAAAATAATGCCAATAAAAAACATTGAAAATGAAATAGTAAAAGCAAGGCAGAAGGTTGGATATCTAGTTATTAAAGCACTATTGTATTAGTATATTATAGCGTCTGAATTAGAACTGACTAAATAGCCATGGTAGGCCTGTCTAAATAACCATGTATTTAATGATAGTTTGAAAGTTCCCAATGAAGGGGCCAGGAGAATTTCAAAGTGTTTCAGATTATTAATTTCCTATTGTTGTTATTATTATTCGTTATCAACTGGTTGCTATGGAGGCTTGTTGTGTACTACATTTCTGTTTATTTGTTATAGATTGTTTAATATAGATTCCTATAGATACACCAAAATATAATTCATTTACTAGTAAATCCCTCTGGATCAAATAAATAACATTAACCTTTGTAAACGGGAGCCCATAATAACTGCAGGTTTTCCTTTGTTGTAATTAATTCTTTCACTGGTAAAATTTTATACAGATACAGCAGATGTGAAATAGTAGCTGTAACTGCTTGGCACTGGGTTTTTAGGTGTGCTTTTCATTATACTTTTCGAATTCACTGCTTTAGCAACTCTTAAGCTGTGACTCTTTTTAAAAAGGCCGAAAAGAGAGTAGTTTTGGAGACTCTAATATATCCAAAGCATTATTATACTTCTGCCAGCAGGGTGAAATTATCAGCAGATCTACCTGTTGGTTTTTTTACTCCTCAGTGAGGCTGTATTCATCCTCATCTAGGGGAAAAACCTTCAAATAATGAGAAGGAATGAGGTCAGATATGGTCACTGTAAGGCACTTCTACATTTCTTATATTGAGTTGTGGGTGCGAGCTGAAAGAATATTGCCACTTGTGGGTGCAGGGTTTCTTTCTCCCTATGTCTAGCATTCCTGATTTTGTTGGGAGGGGCATGGCAGAGAGATTTGCTCCTTTCCATACTCTGTGGGATGCATGGTTGGAACCATAGGACTAAAGTCTTGAATTGTGGGTCGTTTGGTTGGTTGGCTGGCTAACAGCCTGACTCATATTCAAACCTGAATATTTTAAAGGACATACAGATAGAATACAGCAGAATATATTTTCAGTCTGCATGCTTTTCTGCCAATTCTTCCGGGATGATTATTCAATAAGGTGAGATTTGCTTTATTAATAGTATCCTTGAAGGCAAGTATCTCTTTTTCCATGACTATTCCCTTCCAAAGGAGAACTATTCCCCGCCCTCCTGCAAGTTTCCTCCAATTGTTTCTTATAATGTCTAACTGGAAATGCAGTTCACACAAAACAGTCATAGGATTAGGATCATATAAAGGATGTACTGCAGGGATGCAGTGAAGATGACAATATGTGTGCATTGGGCTTTAAAATACTCTCCAAACGTATGATGCAGCTTGTGTATTTCCTCAGCAGGTTGTTCACATATAGATAATTAAACTGTGTCTATGACCTGTGGTCTTTGGGGTTTCCTACAATTCAAGTATCTTATCAAACTCAGTTAAGTGTTGATAATTAGAATTAGCAGTCTTGATTTATCTTGGCCAAAAGCGGCAAAATTAAAAGATGAATACATCCTTCAAGGGCATTATTCTGCTTACTGTTGTGCATGGTTGTTCTGTTTGAAGCTGGAAGAGGATCATCAACAGACCCTACGGAGGAAAGACTTGGAGGTACAAAGCTTGACTTTGCAGAACAAATTGGAAGAGAAGACTTGGACCCAAGAGAAAAACCTGATGCATCAAGAACTCAGGCATTTCAAGCAGAACACCTTTCTCCTCTATGTCAAATTAAAATGGTTGCTCAAACACTGGAGGCAAGGCAAGGAGTTGGATGAGGAAGGAGAAGATGCACTTGAGGTAACTGTCCTGTATTATTTAATGGAGTGAATCTACCAAAAAAGTGTTGCAGATAATTCAATTGTGGACAAAAAGCATTATAGAAGAAATAATTTTGCTTTCAAGTTTAGATGTCAGATTATTCTTTCCAGTAGCATTGTAATCAGAATTACATTGATTAAAGTACTGAGAAGTACTGTGGAATTGGAAGCTCTTCGTCAATACATTTGAAGTACTCAGATATGCATCATCTCCAAAACCTCTTATTAATCTTTGTATCAGTTAAAAGATCATGAGAAATCTATAGAGCAGATCAGTTAACTTTGCAAATCTCTCACACTTACCCATAATTCCACCAGCATCCAGGGCTGTGGGAAGCAGACCCAATAAGATCTGGAACATGCATCCATCTATTCATAGTTTCATACTAGTTTGAGGTGGTCTCAGTTATCATCGCAGTATGCTCTGAAGAACGCAAATATATTTTGTTTGCATACCAGCTAACAGCAAGAATCTTAAAGGATTCGTGAAGGCTTTCACAGCCAGGATCTAATGGTTGTTGTGGGTTTTTCATACTCTTTGGCCGTGTTCTGAAGGTTGTTCTTCCTAATGTTTCGCCAGTCTCTGTGGCCGGCATCTGCTGTCCTCTGAAGATGCCGGCCACAGAGACTGGCGAAACGTTAGGAAGAACAACCTTCAGAACATAGCCAAAGAGCCTGAAAGACCCACAGCAACCAATCTTAAAGGAGATAACTTGAGGGAAAAGAGAAGTTGTTATAATTTATTCTGTTTGTCTCAAAAAATTCCCAGTCCTATCATGAATGAAATGTTTCCTTGTGTAGTTTCAGAATAACCTGTTACGAAAAATGAACAGAAAAAACCATCTTTTTACTCAACCAAATTAACTCGGAAAGGGAAAAGTGTCCCTTGCATTGCAGTCGTTCTGTAGTGAATTGTAGTTATCAATATTGTCAAACATAGCAAGAATGAGTGGTTTGTTTTGCTTTTATAAATACCATATTGTTAAGAGGAATTATACATGTTTTAAATATTATATGCCATAGAAGCACACTGCCAGTACAGTGGTCATATCAAGAGCAACAGAAACCTAATTACAATGGTTATTGAGTAAAGATTATTAAAATAGGGTTTATTGTTGTTTACAAAAGAAGTAAACATCAAAATAGGCAGCAATTCTGTTCTTGAATGTTACATCATTATACATTGAGAATCCAAGGCAAAGGTCTGTGTCCACCAAGGCCTTCCCTCCAATTCTCTTCTTCCTTTCCTAAGAAATGCCCTCCTGTTTCATAAGCATTCCTGTGTCATAAAAGAAGATGACAAATACCTCCACAGGCAGATTATTACATGTCCACTGCTACTACTTCATTTATAATTTTGACTTTACTTGGTATTTTAGTTGGAACATCTTGATACCGTACCAGAATTCGTCTTTCAGTTGGAACAAAAGGGTGAAGCAGAGGGGGAGGAGGAGGAGGAAGATGTGTTCACAATGACAGCTTACTCCCAGCATTCCACTATGGAAAGAAGTGACCATGGACCACCACTACAGACTGCAGAACTGTTACAGCATCAAAAGCAGGTATTAAGAGAAATCCACAGGTGCTTCCTTTTTCTTGAGAATCCAGCTGTTTGCAGTCCAATACTCTGCTCTGCCTGGAATATTTTAATTGCAATCATGATCCTACTCACAGAGCAATGATAATATGTCACTTATGAATTAGTGATTTCCAAAATGTCTCATCCTCAAGAGTTCTGCTCAGCCTTTGTACATTCAAGGATGTGGCTTCCTTGATGGAATCAACCCATCTCTTATTTAATCTTTCTTGTTTCCTACCACCTTCAACTTTACATTATTGTCTTTTCCAGAGTATCTTGTTTTCTCATGATGTGCCCGAAGTACGACAGCTTCAGTTTCATAATTATTGCCTCCAGAGGTAGTTCAGGCTTGATTTGATCTAGCAGCCACTTTTTCATCTTTCTGGCAGTAAATTATCTGCAAAACTCTCCTCTGGCACAGTATTTCAAGTGAATCATTTTTTCAACTTGGCAATACAATAGTGTGGATGATCTTCACCTTGGTCTCCAGTGGCACATCCTTATACTTGATTATCTCTAATTCCTTCATCGCAGCACTTCTGAGTCTCAGTCTTCTTCTGATTTCTTGACTGCAGTCTCCATTTGAACTGAGATTGAACGAAGGTGTCACTTATGAACCAAAAATGTGCAGTACCATCTTATTTTCTCACCCACCATTCAGAAGCATAATTCATAGATCTCTGCAGCAGCAAAAGGAAAGGCAATACAGTATATGACAAAAGCAGTATGCATGGAAAGTTGTAGATTCATTACAATCACCCTTCCATATGCTGCATATGCTGATACCAGTAACAAGCTGGTGGTTCGGGAAGAGAATGTCTTTTCCTGAATGGCCAGCTGTTGCAGTTCTTTTCTGCTCCTGAACAAGGGACTCTTTTCATGCATGAAGAGAATAATTGTTTTCTCTTTCTCCATTCAGGAAGAGAGAGGCGGTACCTTTCCTTAATCACTTTGAGCCCCTTAATTTAGCCAGTCCCCAGCAAGATAAAGTGCAAATTGCTTTATCAGAATTTTTTTTACTGACTTCTTCTGACTTTACAGCAAGTGCCACTGAACGTGGGTGCAAAGGAGAGCTCATATTCTGGCAAGCTTTTTTAATGTGCATGTGTGGCTTCCGGAAAATGGTATAAAGGAACTGGAATGTTTGGGAGTGCTTGGTGGATGGAATTACGCCTGAACATTCCTGATTTATAAGCTCATCCCACCTACACACCACCATAACAATCTACCATATACCATTAGTGTGTGGAAAGCTTTCAATTCCATTTAAATAATTAAAGAACTAGGCATATATAATTGATTTCTTAAGAGATGGGGAGAAACCATGCAGGAAAACCCTCTTGATTCACTACATGCTTTTTGGAAAAGAAAACTAATTAAGAATGATCTCTCTCGTGCAGATACGCAGACACACACACTGTGAAAAGAGCGATTTAACTGTTTGGGACCTGACCTACATTCATAGGCAGTGTTTGGGCCTCAGGAAATACCAATAGATATATTAAATAATCACTCTGCTTTCCAGAATAGCAGCAATAACTTGTGGTTTATCCAGCTTTCTTTGAAGTCATTGGCAGTTTAGCCAATGCACTTTAATTTGAATTTTATGAAATTAACATTGAGTAGTTAACAAAACTGCTCTTGCCACAGAATTTCAGAACTGGTCTATTTTTTATTATAACATTTATAAACCACCCTTTGCACATGTGGATACCAGTGTGGTGTGAAAATATAATTAAAAAAATGAAAAGTGCCAATATGACATCAAGACAGAGAAAGGAAGCAAGAACAATAAACCAACAGAATCTGTTGTGTGTTACGTTGTGCTGTATTAATGCTATATAGGAAAAGTTAACTTACATCTCAACAAAATTCTGCTAAGGCAATGAAGAAGTAAATGCAGCAGAAATAAATAAAAACAAGAACAGGAGTAAAATATTGAAATAAAAATAAACGACAGTCAAATAATGATTTCAAATAACAGTGGCAAGAAGATCTAGCTTTAACAGTTATATTCCTTAGTTAAAGCACCCATTATGGAACAATGCAGTATTTCTTCCATTCTTATGCAGATGTAGGTGGTACAATTGCATCTGGACAAGAGATGAATTTCTAGAGTAGTTTGTGACTATGAATAAAAGTAGGTCAGAAGAGATAACATGAGTTACTATCACTCTTGAGTCTCCTATGTTTATGTTTAATTTTTTATGGGCTGTCTGATATTTTCAACATCTCATAAAAATGCAGACTCTCATGATCTTGTCAACAAAGAAAATTTTCTTCAGTAGAAAAGCAAAAGAGTGACACAATAATAAAAACAGTGTCTGTAGGCATCCTTCAGTCTCAAGAAATTATGGTAACGTGCTCTGAATAAAGGTCTTGGGACAGTGTCTAGTGTGGCTGAGAAGGCCAATTCAAGCGTGACAATTCCTTCCACACTGAAGACAAATACAATCTGTCTTCTGTCCAGCTCCCTGATTTTGCTGGTTTCGAGACCGCCTCTTTGCCTCAGCCTGCTGAACAATTGTCTCTTCAAATTGGGAGAGGCCATGCTGTACCGCCTTCCTCCAGGCTGAGCGCTCAGATGTCAAAGTTTCCCATCTGTTGAGGTCCATTCCTAAGGCTTTCAGATCCCACTTGCAGATATCCTTGTATCAATATTAAAAAACATCAAGATGGGAAAAATGAAAAATGAACTACAAGGAGGAGAGAAGAGAAAAGCAAATATTAACTGGAGGGGAAGGCCTGCCTGAACATCCAGGTTTTTAGTTGACTTTTAGAAATGTCCAGCGAGGGGGCAGCACGAATCTCTGGAGGGAGACTGTTCCAGAGGCGAGGAGCCACTGCTGAGAAGGCCAGGTTTCTTGTTTTTTTCCTTCTGGGCCTCCCTCGGCATCAGGCTCCTCAACCTCACCTCCTGACTCACGCGGGTGACATGGGTAGAACTTGGTAGGAGTAGACGTTCCACCAAATATCGAGGTCCTCCCCATAACTTGTAAAACAGCCCTGATAGCTTTTCAAAGCACAGGCCTTGATTTTGTAATTCAGCAGGTGTTTTGTATGCTAAAGATCCTATGTTTTCCCTGGTGTTTCAAGATAAGTCTGGGGAAGCCCCTCCTGGAACCCTAGAGAGAGCCACCACTGGTCAGTACGGATTAAAGATGATCCAGCTCAACGTATACAGAGAGAGTGTCAGAGATTGTTGAGCCAAAGTACACAAAATCATGAACAACCTCCAGTTCTTGTGTGGAGATGGTAATAGAGGGAAGTGAGTCCATGCTCTGGTCCATGACGTGTGTCTTCTTCAGGCTGATTGTTAATCCAAAATCTTGGCAGGCCTTACTAAAACGGTTCATGAGTTGTTGGAGGTCTTCAGCTGAATGGGCAACAACAGCTGCATCATTGGCGAAGAGGAAGTCCTGCATTCATTTCAGCTGGATTCTAAAGAGATTAAAGAGCTTTCCATCTGATCTAGTCCAGAGATAGACACCTTCTGTTGCAGTTTCAAAGGCATGTTTGCATGACAGCAAAGAAGATCCCAAACAGGGTCAGCACGAGGACACACTCTGCTTCAGATGTTAAAGAAATCTGATCTTGAGCCATCAAAAACTACGGTGCCCTTCATTTCCCTGTGAAAGGACCTGATGATGTTACAGTGTCGAGGTGGACATGCAATCTTGGGAAGTATTTTAAAAAGACTGTCCCTGCTAACCAAATCAAAGGCCTTTGTAAGATCTATGCAGCCAGAAAGAGTGGCTGTTGTTGTTCCCTACATTTCTCCTGCAACTGTCTGACTATACCAGTAACCTCAAAACATTAGACTGACCCGTCAAAATTTGAAAAGACTGATTTTGCCTTCAAAATAGTCCTAGATTTCTATTTTTAGTCCAAATTTGGAAAACCACAGGAAATCCTATATGATAACCTACAGTATGCAAGATGGTCTTACATCACAGAGTAACAGTTTAATAATCACATGAAATAATAATTTAAAGTCCTCTATACTTCATCTGCAATCTTATAATTAAAATCATGATCTACTGGGAAACTTTAATTCACCAAAGGTTCTTGGGCCTACTTTGCACACTATGGAAAAAGTAGGCAAATAATTTAGGAGGCCATGATTGATTCTTCATGGCATCGCTATTTAGCACTCTTGTGTCTAAAATGTCAAGAATGACTCTTGTATGTTAGGAAGGAAATGGCAGAGATACACTGTATTCATATGTCCTCCCCATAACTTGTAAAACATCCCTGATAGCTTTTCAAAGCACAGGCCTTGATTTTGTAATTGAGCAGGTGTTTTGTACGCTAAAGATCCTATGTTTTCCCTGGTGTTTCAAGATAAGTCTGGGGAAGCCCCTCCTGGAACCCTAGAGAGAGCCACCACTGGTCAGTACGGATTAAAGGAAGGAAATTTTTCACACTCTAAATGTTCTTAGGCTGCAGTTTCAATCACCCTTCAACATAAACATCTCAGTGTGGATGAAAGATAGCAGACTTCAACAATATCTGAAACTGAAGGATGAATTGCTTTTGTTGCTGTTTGGTTTGTGGCGTACACATTTGTTTTGACTTGAAGTGATCCATCTGACTCTATGAGCTTTCTCTAACTTTCATGTTTGACAGATGGCTCTCTAGCTTTTTCTTGAATGCCTTCAATGTTGGAGTACTCATCACCTCCTGAGGTATTGGTTCCATTGTCATACTGCTCTAGCAGTTAGAAAGTTTTTCTGCTATTCAGCCAAAATCTGGCATCCTGTAACTTCAACCTATTATAATGCACCTTGCACTCTGTAATGATTGACAGCAGATCTTCCCCTTCCTCTGTATGACAACTTTTCAGCTATTTGAAGAGTGTTGTTATATGTCCTCTCAGTCTTATTTTCACAAAGCTAAACATGCCCAGATAAATCCAAGATCCTTCTTGCATATATTATGACTGAGCCAATTATTCCCTCATCTTGTAATTGCATTTAGTTTCTTTCTCCTAGGTGCAGAACTTTGCACTTATCCCTGTTAAATTTCATTCTGTTGTTTTCAGATCAGTGCAGAAGCTTATCAAAATCTCTTTGGATTTTTTTCTGTCTTTCAGGGGTTTTGCTATTCTAGCCAATTTTGTATTATCTGCAAATTTGATAATCATTCCTTACATCACCTCATTCAAGTAATTAATAAAACTCTTGAAGAGTACTGGGACCAGGACTGATCTCTGTGATATCCTACTTATTACCTCTTTCCAATTTGAGAAGGAATGATTGCAAAGCGCTCTTTAAGTACAATTCTGTAACCAACTGTGGATCCACCTGACAGCTATTCTATCCAGTCCACAAACAAATAGAATATAATGGGATGCTTCATCAAAAGCTTTTCTAAAGTCAAGTTATATAATATTTTCATAGTATTCCCACCATCTACCTGGGAAGTTATTGACAAAGTTCCACCTTGGATATAGTCAAGTTCCTTTTTGACACATTTTTATTTAGTATCTACATATAGCAAACTGAATCGTGATTTTAAAAAACATTACTCAGAGAGATTCCATGTGTACACACCAACCTTTGGAACCTGTGTGTATAAGTTATGTGGTACTTAGATTTCCATAGCTTATCAGTTTCATATGTGTTTCATATAACAAGAAGGGAGAGAAACCAGGATGCAAAAACACCCTCCTTTTGTATCACAGATATTTGAAGTGGCACCAGTGGGTTTGGTAATGTTTTAAAATTGCAAATAGCTCTTGCTTCTCCAGGCCAAAGAAAACCACCGACTTTTACATGCCCTGAAAATTCTGTTGGATGACTTCAGAACTGAACTCCAGGATGATCAGAAAGAACGGCATGTTCTCCAGCAGCAGTATGCCACTGACAAAGCTGCTTGGGAAGTGGAATGGACTAAGCTGAAGTGTCAGTTGGAGCAGGTATGGTTCTTTCCATAGTCTGTGTCAAAAGGTAGCAAGATTAACTGGGACACAGTTCTCAGTCTGGTTTGAGAACATGTAGAAATAATTCAAAGACTGTTGTTTTAGCTATCTTACAGAAATCAACAGTTCCACGTGGGTAAGAGAAAAGTTTTTGTTATTGACAGCCATCTTGAATGCCTGTTTTGGTGGAAAGAAAAAAAATATAAATTACTGTACATAAATATTACTAACGACCTGTTTGAATATCATTGCATTTACTAAATATTTCTTGCTGTTAAATTACCTAGTTCATTCCTAATTGTTTTGGATTTTTTCCTTCTATTCAAAATAATGGTTGTCTCACTAACAAGAGTCACAAATCCTTGTCTTTCCTAGTGCATCATTTCCTTAAAAAATAAAATAAAATCCAGAAAACAAAGGTGCAGTAGGTTCATGGATTTCAAAACAAGGGATTCAGCATTTCCCCAAAGAGGTGTTTTGGGAGACACTAATTTTTAAAACTCAGTGTGGATTTTTAAAACCAGTAAGTCTCAAGATGAACCTTGACCTATTGGAACAATATTTATACCCCATATGAAAGAGCCCTGAATAAGAATTTTAAATTTATTGCAGGTTTTGATTTGTTTAATTTAGATTGAGTTTGAGATGTTCTCATACATTGAAAGAGAAACAGCAATTCTTGGGCAAGTCTTGACTTGACTACCTTTCATTCAGGGTGAAATGATCAGGTAGATAATAACACTTGTCAATGAAGTCTGCAGTTTTACAAAGAAAGTACAGTGACTTGTGGCTGTCCCAAAAAGACAAGCCAGAAAGTACAGCAGTTACTCCAGTCTGTCTCCAGCACTGATGCAGAATGTTTGTGTTTGTATGTGCACACACAGACTCAAATATCTGGGAATTCCTTGTCCAAGCTAGTATTTTGGGATAACTAGTCTGAAAGAAGAACTTTGGAGTAAGACAACCTGTGCATGTTATTATTTATTCAAATTGTAAGACAAATTCTAACACATGTACTCCCTATGAATAGTGCCTCATTCCTTAGGTGGTTTCTCTAAGTTATTTGGAGTGACAATTTCACAGGAGCAAGAGGTATTTTAAAAATCTGGTTTTTTAAAATGAACATTTTCTCAACATTACAAAAAAAATTCCAAATTAAAGGACAGGAGTGAGCCAGCCTTGGATGTGCTCAGTTCAAATCTCCCTCACTTCCCAAACAAGCCCAAAGATCAAGCTCCCAATTTGTCATGGGTTTCAGTGGCAAGAAGAGGAAGAAGGATGAGAAACATTTTAAATTAAGAAAGTTCATTCCCTTCCCTCACTGTCAGTCTTGAAAGCAGATCTGGAAATTGGTTGGTCTTCCACCATAGACCCCTCTTTAGTCTTCTCAAAGGAAGGAAGGAAGGAAGGAAGGAAGGAACCTCCACGAGGAGTACATGAGGTCAGAGAAGTGGTAGAGGAGCCGGAGCCTCGCCCGGACCGTGTGGGGGCTCACGTCCTTCAGGGACCCGTACTGGGGCGGGACCACATCCGGGAGGCCCAGCTGTAAAGGCACAGAGACGCCTGCCAAAGGAAGCACAGGTCAGACCCTGCTGAGCCCGTGGCCTGGCGCCTCTTGCTGGGAGCGGAGACAGCCGGGGGGAGGGGGGGCGGCGCTGCAGGACGGGACCCGAAGGGGCCACCCC